TTTTAAAGTGTATTAGTGTAAAGAAGCCTTAGAAGAATGAAATATCGTGCCCATGGATTCAGCCCATATACCAAACAAACGGGCTCTTTCGTGTTCTGGTTCATTTGAGAGACAGGCTTGTCAGTTGTATGTATGAGTTGCTGAAGAAATTTATTATTTTTCCCATTCGACAAAAGCAAAAGGAAAAAAGAAACAAAGAGAAAGTGGAGCTTGCAGAAAGTGGCAGAGCACAGAAATGGTTTTGATTCATATTCTTAAGCACCATTCAGCAGCAAGTCATCAGTCAATGTGAAAGGAAGAATTGAAATTGTGTGAAAAAGGCATGAGCCCCATTGTGATTATTGAGATATTGATTTTGCACAGGCATGAAGGATGATGGGGTCATTGGGGTGGTCTTGGAAAGGGACAAGTGGGGCTCGTGTTCATGGCTCAATTCCTCATTCCAACATGGTACGCCTCAATGTTAGAAGTGAGTTCACACAAGGCTTTTTGTTTTAATTTTAATGCAAACGAACTTAAGCACCTCATGTAAGCATAAATACTCTTATTCACTTAAGCTAAAAGTCCCTTGTAAGTTCGGACAACGTATAATTGACGAGTGATCTAGCTAAGTCACCGTCACTGTGGTGCAATTATGCAACTCGTTTGACAAATGTTATAGAATTCAAACAAATAAAAATTAGGTCCAAGTTAACATATGATACATTATTATTTATGGCGTCACTTGATTTCAAACACTATGACTATTTGGATTAAACATCCTTATCCCATGGGATGTGCTGAAACATATCAGAACAGAACCGAACGCAATTCCCATATAAAATGCTACACAGCCTAGCTAGCAACAGATAAGTACTGCCAGGAATCTTCCATTTATGTGGTTCCTAAAGCTAGTTGGTCAACTCAGTGTGAAATCATGTTGTTCTTCCAACCCTTGGATCTCATCAGTTGATTGAAAGGAAAGAAAACAGAAAAAGAAAAAAGATGTGTCTTGCGACCTGAGCCACATGCATCCACATGAACTCCACCACCAGAATTGTTTGAGTTGTTGGACGCTAACTCAATGTAAAATATAGTTACTTCAATTGAAGCCCTGTTTGTTAAACCCCTTGAGATTACAGACAAACAAATAAAATCTGATCCAATTCTTTTATCCATTTCCTCTCCAAAATTGCCGTTTTAGATGGGTCCAAATCCAAAATCCAAAATCGCCCACATACGCAAAGATTTTTATCCTAATCCATACGAGTAGAGTACGCACTCCTCCCATACAGTCCAGACCAATTTAGCTAGCTAGCTAGCTCAGGTCTGGAAATTGCAACTGCAATTCCAGCTCTTGATCAAATTGCCTGCAAATGATCAGTTGCTTGATGATAAGAAAGGACATCCCCAGTGGGCCCCACATCCATTCCCCTTGTCATCACTGGAAATGAACGTGAAAATCCCCCCATCACATCGTATATCCTACTAGTCCGTCACTCGGGCAATGAATTAGGAGATAAAGAAAGAAAAAGAAAAGAAGAAAAAAAACAACTCGTTTTCTCACTCTCTGTCTGTCTTTTTCTTCAGCTAGCCTATATATAAAGCCCTCAACAAGCCCATTTTCAATATCACAATAACAAAACCAGGGAACACAAAGGATATATAATATGGCTGCAACCTTGGCTAGCTTTTGCCTCCTAGTCTTGGTGGCAGCCCTAGCACCTCATCAAGCTTACGCCTCCATTCGTCGCTCACTTGGCCACAAACGTGCTGCTGCTGCGGCTGCTCCAACCGTCGGTATATGTGCGTCTTCGGTGCTTGTATATGGCTACCAATGCCAGGAGCTTCAGGTAAGAGCTTGATGAATTAAGCCACTGCACTGTAGCTACGTATAATTCAATGAATTAGTTTTGAATTAATTCATTTGTGTTGTTCAGGTGACAACCCAAGACGGTTACATACTGAGTTTGCAAAGAATCCCAGAAGGTCGTCATAGTAATGGGACTAAGAAGCCACCGGTCTTAATTCAACATGGTGTCCTTGTGGTAAGTTTCCTCTTCTTCTCTGCTCTGCATATCATCATCCTGTTTCTGTTTCTGCTTCTGCTTCTGTTTCCGTTTGATCTTTGATCATTAAACATTATTGCACATATTCATTAAAGTTGCTTTTCAGTGCCACATTTTGGTACCAAAGTTGCTTTTTTCGACCCTTCAAGTGAAAAAAGTCAAAAGGGAGAGGACACTATCAGTGAATATAGCATGTGCCCTGTAATTCTTTCAAATGGCCTATGATGTCACTTAAACTACACTTAAAATTAGCATCTTCCACGCATTTAACAACAAATTGAAAAGCAATATCTTTACAAAACAGAGGGTCCATGTTTGCCTATAAAGTCAATGAGAAGAAGAAAGAAACAGAGGAAAACAGAGCAGACTTCACGCTATTCAGATTAGACGTACAAATTTGTTCAGATTGTTGAACAAAACTTGTCCACTTATATACCAAGTAATAGTTTTTGTATGCACACAAAACAAAAAGTGGATTTAAGTTTTCAAAAAGTGGTTCAGAGACCCTGCTTCTGCTTCTGATTCTGATGAGGCAAAAGGAACCCCATCAGAAACTGTCCAAAAAAATGATGCACCGCCTCAGGCATAATTCCATGGGTGCAAAATTCAAGACACGGATAACTGCTCTTGGTGCTGACTATAATTGAGGGGTTTCTATATTGTGTATGTGGGTGCAGGATGGAGTCACCTGGCTCTTAAATTCTCCGGATAGAAATCTACCGTTGATTTTGGCTGATAATGGGTTTGATGTGTGGATTGCTAACACCAGAGGGACCAGGTTTAGCCGACGACATACTTCCATGGACCCCTCCGATCCGGTTCTTACACTATATACTCTCTCACTTCAGCTATCTCTGTTTCTTAGTAGTATGTGCTTATTGCTTAATGAGTTGTGATTTGAAACATGCCAGAAATTTTGGAATTGGTCTTGGGATGAACTGGTGGCCTTTGACCTACCAGCTGTTTTTGATTTCGTGTATGGCAAAACAGGACAGAAGGTTAATTACGTGGGCCATTCACTGGTGAGGATCAATGTATTTGGAATTTTTCAGGTTTTTTGTGTGATGGAAAATGCACATATCTTGGTAAATTGAATTTCAAATCAAGGACATGCAATGCAACATGTTGAAGAAACCATGTGAATTTGGCAGGGTACTTTGTTTGCATTGGCATCGTTATCAGATGGGAAACTGGTGGACCAGATGAAGTCGGCAGCCTTGTTGAGCCCGATTGCTTATTTGAGTCACATGAACACTGCACTTGGCGTGGCTGCTGCAAAGGCCTTTGTTGGTGAGGTACAAATTCATTCAGTTGTTAGTCAATAATTTCTTATACAATTTCAGATATGTCCTCTATAGAAACAGTCCCAAACGAGCTCTAATTAAGCGTATGATTTTGCCAACAGATCACTACGCTGTTCGGTCTTGCCGAGTTCAATCCAAAAGGGTAAGAATCCACCAAGAAATAAATGTTAAATATCTCTTCATCTCACAGTATTATGATTTTAACTTGGTGTAATTTGAGGTTTCTCTTAATTGCAGGGAGCCTGTGGCCCAATTTCTCAATGCTCTGTGTGTTTATCCAGGGGTTGACTGCTATGACTTGCTAGAAGCAGTTACTGGTATAATTAGCCACTTCTCATTATCTCTAATTATTAATTATCTTGCAGCTAAGCTATTAACTACTTCCGTAAATTTATCTGATTTAAGGGAAAAACTGCTGCCTCAATTCTTCCACTGTTGATCTCTTCCTGAAGAATGAGCCTCAGTCAACATCCACCAGGAACATGGTGCACTTGGCTCAAAGTAAGTTCCTTTATCCAACTTAAACCCCATCTGTTTAAAGTAATGGTGCCAATTAAACTACTTGTTTAAACTAATTGTGACATAAATTAACTTGCAGCTGTGCGAGATGGGGTGTTGGCAAAATACAACTACGGGAGACTAGACTACAATTTGATGCATTATGGGAAATTTAGCCCTCCAATTTATAACCTATCCAACATTCCCCATAACCTTCCTCTGTTCCTCAGCTATGGCGGCCGAGACTCGCTCTCTGATATTCGGGACGTGGAGCTTTTACTTGATATTCTTAAGCTTCATGATGTGGGCAAGCTGACTGTTCAGTACATAAAAGACTATGCACATGCAGACTTCATCATGGGGTTGAATGCCAAGGACATCGTGTACAATCAAGTTACTGCCTTTTTCCAGCAGCAACAATGATATTACAACTGAGATTGAAGTTGAGTTGAAATCAGCTGCAACTTGCAAACCATATGGCTCCGTTTCGATTGAGGATTTGACAACGAGGCTAAATGTCTAGATGTATAGGGGCCATCATGAGCACCTTAAGCTCTAATTTGTAGTAAAATGTATCCAGAAATTTTGAACAATATATGTCGGTTTTAAAGTTGATGAGCAAAATATTTTAATGAATCAAACAATCAATGTCATGACATTGATGATGACGAGCACAAGTTATAGTGAATAGACTTTCTTCATTTGGTCCTTGTCTTAGTCCGTTCTGATGGTTCTGACATTTTGTTTTGATTTAAAATTTGAGTTCCAAGGGCAAGCCGCTGGCCTTTTCGAGTGAATATGATCACCGCCAGGGTAGCTTTGTTTCAACGCCAAGCTTCCTCCACGACCTTTTGCCCACCAACTAGTTTTGCTTTGCGGACAAACCAAACTCTCTCAAGTCTTAACATAATCGCATTTCACACGATCAGCCCTGTTTCTCTGCAGTATACTGCCTCTTGCTTCTCGGGGCAATTTGATAATTTGGAGGGTCCTTGATGTTCATCTTGTGAAAATGAAACTTCCCAAGTTATCAAGATTACAAATATTGTTTTTCATCATTTATAATAATAACAATATTAATAAACCAAACAGAACTCCCCTGTATATATATAGTTGAAATAGGCATGGGAAAGCTCAGACTCAGACATTGAAAGGAGTTAGAAGCAAAGAAGTCGAGAGAGAGAGAGAGAGAGAGAGAGAGAGAGAGAGAGAGAGAGAGAGAGCATAAGAATACACAGAATGGGGCTCAGGAACACAATTTTGTTGGTGTTGGTTTTTGTATGTTTGATCACAAAGAAGGGCTTCGCAGCACAACTCACAGTTGGAGGAAGCCAAGGTTGGGATGAGTCCACAGACTTCAACTCTTGGGCATCTGCCCAAAAATTCAAGGTTGGCGATCAACTTGGTATGTAAACAAACCCTCTTAATCTAATAATTATATTTTTAGTGTGGATTTGATTAGCATAATAATGCCATAACCTATGTGATTAATATTGTTGACAGTTTTCAAGTACTCTTCGGGGCTGCACAGCGTGGTGGAGCTACCAAATGAGAGTGCCTACAAGAGCTGTGACCTTGGCGGTGCATTAGCCTCCAAGAATACCGGCAATGACGTTGTGAAGTTGACCAAGGCTGGTACACGATATTTTGCTTGTGGCACTTTAGGCCACTGTGGCCAAGGCATGAAGGTGAAGATCACTACTGTCGATGGAAATGCACCTTCTTCTCCGGCATCGGCATCGTCATCGTCGTCGTCTTCTGATGCTTCTCCTGCTTCAACTTCCCTGCATTCCATTACTTCATTCGTTGTGCTTGCTGCATTATCTGCAACCGTTGTTCTGCCTTCTATGTTTTGAACTTCGTTTGAGGGTATTTGCCCTATTGGGTCTAGTTATTACCACCATGGACGTATCATTTTATTTGGATTTTGGAGATAAATTATAGCCAGTGCTGAGTTTGTGATTCAAACTCAGAACTTGATATTTTTGGTTTTGTTTCATTGTGAATGAAATTTGAAGGAAGAGCAGAATAAAAGTGGTAGGGATTGCTATATATAACCCTGGCCTGATTTTTTGTACAATACTATGAATCAACCCTCGTCTCCTGTTGGATTTTGCCTACTAATTTTTCTTCTATGGATTGCAGAAAAATTACATATCCTATATGGTTTCAACTCCACTCTCCACATATCCGACCTTAATCCTCCTTAGACATATCTTTAATTTTTTTTCCATTATTGTTACATCTAGAAAGAAGCATATATGGACTTCGTCAAGTTTGCTAGAGTAGATATGCCCCTCCACTTTTCACCAGAGTTTGAATCCCTCGCCCGGTAGTTAAGATTTAATTAAAATAGAAATATCAATTAGGGAGTTGATTTTCCCACTCATCTTTTATCCACTTATACTCCATTTGTTAGAAATTGTATATTCCCACCCATCTTTTGTCCATTTACACTTCATTTTTTGTTATAGTAAAAATTATTAAAAAAACAAAAGAGAGTGTAAGTAGACAAAAGAGAAATAAGAAAATCACTATGCTATCAATTATATTAGGCTCTTTGCAGGCGCGCTTTTAAAAAAAAAAAAAAAAATCGGCATCACCATTTTGGCCCACGAATTTCTCACGAAAAAGATTATAATAAAAAATCCGGCATATTCCTCCTTTGCCAATCCAAAATCAGAAAATTCATACCAATATCAGAAAAAGGACAAACCCAAAAATAAAGCGTGAATCCTAGGCGCCCGAACAAATCGTGACAAAGCGGCACGGTCCTATTCTGTCCAGCGCTGAGCTCTTTTGATTTTTGAAGGCAGTTGAACTGTCGTGCTGTAACAAATTCAGTCCGAAACACACAACCAGAGAGTGACAGCGAGAGTGAAAACCATGCCGGAGGAGACGACCAAAAAAAAAAAAAAAATCGGCATCACCATTTTGGCCCACGAATTTCTCACGAAAAAGATTATAATAAAAAATCCGGCATATTCCTCCTTTGCCAATCCAAAATCAGAAAATTCATACCAATATCAGAAAAAGGACAAACCCAAAAATAAAGCGTGAATCCTAGGCGCCCGAACAAATCGTGACAAAGCGGCACGGTCCTATTCTGTCCAGCGCTGAGCTCTTTTGATTTTTGAAGGCAGTTGAACTGTCGTGCTGTAACAAATTCAGTCCGAAACACACAACCAGAGAGTGACAGCGAGAGTGAAAACCATGCCGGAGGAGACGACCACCATAGACTACGTGATGGAGGCAGCGTCCGGGCCTCACTTCTCGGGGCTCCGACTTGACGGCCTCCTCTCATCTCCACCTTCTGCATCGTCTTCCTCTCCTGCTTCCGCTGCTTCAAACCGAGCCGACCCCAACGCCACCAAGCAGCCCTTCGTCATTGGTACTATTAACTCTCGCATTCGTCTTTCTTCACATTTTCACAGAACATCCAATCAATTTAAATTTGTTTCAGTCACATCTCTGCCGCAACTACATTTTCTTTCAATTTGATTGTTGTTGCGGTGATTGATTAGGTGTTTCGGGAGGTACGGCTTCGGGTAAGACCACGGTTTGCGACATGATCATCCAACAGCTTCACGATCATCGGGTCGTCCTTGTCAATCAGGTTAGGGTTTGGTGTCCATTATGCTTAACTTGCCTTTTCTGCCTGCAAAATTCCGTCATTAGTTGATTTTACTTTATGCTTAATAAAATTCTCTAATTAGTTTCATTTGGCCTTGTCGTAGGATTCATTTTACCGTGGTTTGACACCTGAGGAATCTGAACGGGTGCATGAGTATAATTTTGATCATCCTGGTAATCATTTTATTATAAAAAGTCAAATTTACTTTCCTATTCTTGATGTCTGCTGCCAAGAAATTAGGCTGTGTGCTGTTCTATCTGTACTGTGCAACTCTGGCAGTTATGGAGTGACAGATGAAGTTTTGTTGGGGTTTTTTCTTTAGCCTATGGACATTATTTGTAAAATTTTATTGATTATGTATGGCTTGCATTTTTTAGATGCTTTTGACACGGAGCAACTTTTAGAGTGCGTTCAAAAGCTAAAATGTGGCCAATCTGTCCAAGTTCCGATTTATGATTTTAAGATCCATCGACGAAGTTCTGATACTTTCCGGCAGGTACTCAAATCATTTATGTGTTTTTATTCCTTTTTTTTTCTTTTGGTTAGGAGTATCTAGCTTGTTTGGCGTGTAGAATTAGTGTACTGGTACCATTGTACTATTTATTATTATTATTCTTATATTACTTTATTAACTATCATTATTATTAGTATTGTTACCATTTTTACTCTTCTCAAGGTTCGTTTTGACTTCTAATTGTCGTTTTCTTCCCTTTTAATCATTTTGTTTACTGCTTTTTCAGGTGAATGCTTCCGATGTAATAATTTTGGAGGGAATTCTGGTATTCCATGATCAACGTGTCCGAAATCTGATGAACATGAAGATTTTTGTCGATACAGGTTTGATTTTCTCTTTTTAGTTTTTTGTCGTTGTCATTATTTTTATTGTCTTGTTATGTTCCTTTATGGTCATCTCATCTTCCAGATTTCCATGATTGTTTTGCTTTGCATGTCATGTTAGTTTGAGTGCTATGTACGGACATTATGCCTTCTTTGTATAGGTCTAGCAATTCCTCTGTAATCAAATGTATATGTTACGACAAAGAAATAGAAACAGATATTGATCAAAGAAATCCAGAGAAGGGAATTTCAGGGCTGGTTTTCTTGTACTGCCTATTAAGATTCAGTTGCCAATTAGCAATTTATGCTGATTATAAACCATAGGCGTTAGCCACTTGGGCGGCGAATAATATATTCTACTTTTTGCTGGTCCATATAGAATGGCTTCAGTGTTTAAAAATTTATATAAACTCAAACTGCCTATAGGTTATTATCAAACATTCGTTCTTTAAGAGTGCTTCTATTCCCATCCAACTTTATGGATTGGCCAGTCTCTGTATGCGCATGAGGAGCAGGTCATAACCTTTTTTAGATTATGCTCTCTCTCTCTCTCTCTCTCTCTCTCTCTCTCTCCTCCTCTCCCTC